CGCGTGACTCCACAAACCTTAGCCGTGTGTCCTTTTTTGCCCGGTGACGTTTGCAATCGCCTCCACCCAACGATATGCTTCTTAAATTTAAAAAAAAAATTTTTTTTTTTTTTTTTTACAATATTTTAAAATATATTCAAGATAGTTTACAGCGTTTAATGAGCAATTGTAAATCTCTCAGCCAAAGATAGTAGATTGAAACGAGTACTCCGAATGCTTTTTCCTTTCCTTATGCAACATGGGGAACTGTGACTCGTTCCTGGGGATACGAAAGCATTTCTCTAATCCTTCCGGTCGTGTTGCGGCCGTCGGCTGCTCTCTACTTAAAGAGGAGGGCGTAGCTACTTACTTAGCAAATAAATATTGCAACATAAATAAGGAAAAGAAAATATCTCTATTTCTTCCTCTTGACCGGGAGGCACGTAGCCATGATATAATGATTGCTTGTCCTCCACAGGCGAAGTTTTTAATCGTTGTTCCATCTCGTCCGCTTTTTGTGATTAAAATGCTTCTGCGTAGAAACCTCAAGTCAGAATTTTTAAATCTTTTACTCGCTGAAACGGTGAGGTATCTCTTATCCCGAATACGAGAGCTTTATTTGATTTGTTTGGAAGAAGGTCTGGTGAGAGGACCCGTGCTTTAGGGTTTTGGCGGTTTAAAAATCCATCGATTCCCGTCCTTCACTCGGAACCCTACTCCACAACACCGACCCGCCAGCCCATCGTCCTCCCCCGGCCGCCGTCATCCCCCCGCCGTCGTCCCAGGTGAGGCCCGCCACGATCTTCTCCGGTCCCCCGCTTGGCGCCACCAGCGCGAGGCGTTGGTGCTGTTTAACTTTGCCGCTGGATTCTCCCCTAATCCCCCACTTCTCGACAACAGTCTCATCAACACTCGACGCCTCATCAGCTCGGTCCGCGTCCCTCGTCCCTCGACTCCACCACACCGCCTCGCGAGCTGCTCCGCAAGGTTTCCTCGTCCGAGCCGCTACGATACCAGCCGCCGCC